AGTTACGTCTACCATGCGAAGTTTCAAACGCGGAAACCGATGCCCATAAGCTTGTGGTTCGCAGTTAAAACTCTTGCGTTTTTGCGGCCGTCACTCCGCGGCTGGCGAGCCCTTGGCGTCACCGAAGCCAAGGTCTATATAAGTACTTGTATAGACCTTGACCGAAGCTGCTTGGTTCTGCGCTACCGTATTCTAAGCAGGCCACTCACTCCATCTTTAATGCTCTTTAAAAATGTACAGAATGAATGGAAAATTAAACAAAGTCTGGGAATTTTGGAATTTTATCACAGATGATATTTGTACATAGAGTTTAATGTACAATAAAACAATAATAAAAACAGTAGCGCAATTTAAGTTATATTTCCAGATGTTTGGCAGCTCACACAAGCCTTCTTTATATCCAAACCCTATAGTATTTTCGGCTTAGATCCCATATTTTCAGTCTGTGATCTAAAAACTTAAAAATCATTATGCATGTAACTAAAACTGAAGCCATCTTTGGTGCAGCAGAGAACCTGTAATGGAAGCAAAACAGCGGCCTGAGGCAGCTTAAGAATCGGGGATAAGTTTAGCTAGTGGAACTTCGGCTCAAAGACTGCAGTCCAATATCTATTATATTTCAGTCAATTGGTTCCTCTTTTATGAAAATTGAATCGGTTGTATCGCTGTGTCTGCCTAGAGACTGTTCAGGCTGTAGAAGACTCTTGTCACAGTGCATATAATCGGTTGATGTGTAGTCTTGTCCCTGTAAAAATCATTACTAATATAATGAATTTGAAAAATAAGAAAAGAGAATATTTTAAAAAGCTACTAATAAATAGCATATTGCTAGACGAACTTGAAGCAGGATTGTGCATCTTAAAATATACTAGACGAAACAGTGAAGTATAACTATACAGAACCCTCAAATATATTACACGACACTCCATCATAATAACACAACGCATACGGAAACTAACATCTCCGTGCCCCTCAAAATCTTCCACCTTGACATCTGCCACCATCGAAGTTCCGTCCGGCGTCTCTGAACAGCTGTTACTCTCTGCCAATCTCGGGGACTTGCTCTGGGTCCGAACCGACGTCGTGGGTTCTGCCTCGGAGAAAGCTTCGGCTCTGGGTCTCTTCCTCCTACTCGATAAAAATGGACCTTCTGCCCTGTCGCTGTGCAGTATATCCCTTCTTGCAATAACAGGTAGAGTTGGCTGATTATGTGTGCCTTCAGCCGCGATATGCTCACTAATGCAAGTAGAACTTCGTGAATTTACCCTGTCGGAATGCAACTCTACAGTCTTACAGGGGTGCTTCATCTCTGCCATTTGCCGTCCTACCCAAAACATCTGCTCGGGCTAAATCGGATATCTGCAGGGCATTTGCAGTCTTCAAAAGGGATTGCAGATTCTCCGAGGGCAGAGTTATTTCACCTCTGGAAGAAAATAAATCAAAATTTCGATTAAATTGAAAGTGTGTGTACGATAGTGGACAGAAACTCTAGCTGAACGTTTGTCAAGTTGTATTGCTATATTCATTACGATTATGAAAGAAAAACGAAAGAAAGAAGGGATGGATGGGGAGATATATAGAGAAAAGGAGACAGATAAAAGGGAGGGTGGAGGAGGAGGAGGAGTAGGGGAGAGGCAGAGGAAGGAGGTGCCAGAAAGAGGAAGATGGAGAAGAAAGAGAAAGGAAGAGTGAGAAAAAGGGGGAGAAGGAAGAGAAGAGGGACATGGAGAGATTGAGAGAGAAGGAGAAAGAAAAAGGGAGGGGAAGGAAAAAGAAAGAGGGAGGAGGAGAAGTTATGAAGTGGGAGAAGCAGAGGGGAAGAGGGAGAAGGAAAGGAGAAGAAAAGGGAGGAGAGAAGAAAGAGATAGGAAAATTGTGAAGAAGGAAGGAGAAGGAGGGAGAAAAGGAGAAGAGAGAGTAAGAGGGAAAAGAAAGAGAGGGGAAGAGGGAGGATGAGAAAGAAAGAGGAAAGAGAGAGGAAGAGGAGGGAAGAAGAAGGCTAAGGAGAAAGGAAGAGAGAAGGAGAAGTAAGAGAGAAAGATGGAGAAGGAGAGTGGAAGATGAAAGTGTGTGAAAGAGGAGAAAAGAGGCAGAAGAGAGAATGAGAAGAGGAAGAGGGAGGAGAGAGAGAGGAGGGGGAGAGCAGGGAATACTGAAAGGGAATGGAATGAGAATGGAGAGGGACAGGAAAAGAGAAGAGAAAGGAGATGAAGGAAGAAAGGATAACAATTAGGAAGGAAAAAAGACGTGAAGAGAAAAGGAAAAGCGAAAGAGAGAGCGAAATAAGCGGCAAAAAGAATTAATGAAAGGGGGGAAGCAAGAGCCAGCGAAAGCTAGAGAAAGCGCGAAATATAAAATAGAAAACGAAAAGAGAAAGGGAGAGCGAGAGCGAGAGCAAAAAAAGTATGTGAGTGAAAGGGAGGAGGACGGAAGAAAGCAAGAGCAAGGGAAAGCTAGAGAAAGTGCGACCTTCCCCGAATGAGGTTGTAAAAGTACAACTCCCAGATTAACTTGCTTGTATATGTAGCTTATGATTGCCTGAAGATCGCTGAATTGCACGTCCAGAGGCATGATAATGATTGGGTGTTGGTAAGGGTTGGATTGCAATACTTCTTTGAAATACAGACTCTTTGCTGACAGTACTGCCTGGAAGGAGAAATAAATGCATATTATGAAGGGAAAATATTTGCATATATATTGTGCATCTGTGAATCTCTCTATACGTGTAAATATGACTCCCATGTCTGATTATTTTAAGTAAAGACTTATGTAGTTTGCTCCTGTAACTATGACCAGTTATTGTCTATCTGATGTGGATATCAAAGCCTCAGTTAGCAGGCCAGAAATCAACTACTTTTAGAAACTGTACATGTATGTTCGGGTACTTTACTGTATCTATTGCATTAAAATCCTATCATACATTTATTGTCTACATGCTGTGACGTACAAGGCAGAGATACAAAGTGAAGGAACTGGATTTTGATAATACTAATGCATAAAATGTCATACTATGAATATCACGAGAATTGTCACTGTTGCAGTGTCTTTTGTCTCCAAAGTCCCTTCAAGTCACCGTGATTGAAAAGAAGAAAACTACCCTATATTATCCATGTGTTTTACTGATAGAAAAAGAAGTTACAATAATAATAATAAATACCATAAGTAAAAAAATTAAATATCAACAAATGAGTACAAAATCTCAAATGTTCCACCAACTCTTTAAATCAAAAATCATAATCACAAAAACATAAACAACATATAAATCCCAAAAGAAACAGACTTTGCAAGGGTAACTAGTGAAATAATATCCCCCATGGACTTACCCTGTGTGCCCTCACTGACTGACCCTGAGCTGTTAACGTGACGTCTGCAAATGCCAAATCTTCATACAGAGACTCCAATACTGAAGAAGGGTTCTCCTTTGGTTTCAGATGAACACTTCCATCCGAAGATTTTTCAGTCGCAGAAGTTCCTTTTGTTGAGTTTTTATCTGCTGCAGAAGTTTCACCTATTGAAGAAAATCTTATCACAATATTTGCTTTGTAGGATAATATGTAGATATGAAATAAAATAGGAAATATCAATAATTTCCATAATGCACTTCCTCCTTCACAGTGTGTATCATTAATGAGTTCGGTTAAAGTCGATATATTCTTTCTTACCTATGAAAATCTACGCTGAATGAATGATAGTGCTTCATATATTGTATGTCTCAATAGTACATACAGCATTGTGTTTGCTCTTCTATTTCACCAAGTGGGCTATTCATTTTTTTTCAAAATAATCTGAACAAAAATATACTCTCTATTTCTAAGAATTACTTTCTAAACCTATATTCTAAAAACAACTATTCATAGAATACATTGCCCATAACCTTCATTCCATAGAAATCAAGAGTCTAATTAAAAACAGTATATTCACATCTTAACATCTTTGCAATATAAGAACGGCAGACAAGAGGACACTTGACTAAAGCTATGGGCCTCAAGAGAAAGGTATTGATATGTTGTTCTGAGGATATATGAACTCAGTCTGGTCTGCTATGCCAAAAAAAATACCTCCAAAGAGATTCCTTATGGAACCTTCAAACATCAATAGGTTAAAATAAGTGGGTACGAGCAAACCTTACTTACCCACTTGATAAAAGTTCTTCAGTTTGTCCACGGTCTCTTGTATCGACACTGCGATCTCCTTCCACTGGGTTATGGATTCCAGCAAGTGCGCATTCAGGAGGGACTGCATCTGCATTTGCTTCAGCTTTTCGGCGTCAATCAGAGCCTGCTTATCTAAGTGTTTCAGTTTTGCTTCCTGGGCTTGCAGTTTGGCTTTCTGAACATTCATAAGCAGTTTATGTTCCTTTTTCTGAAAGGCATCCGATGCAGTGTAGCATTCTTCTTCCGAGAATTTGAGCCGAGTTCGCAATGGAGAGGCAGCACCTGATGTGGTGGTTCCTGCGGATATGTCACAGCCCAGTTTTGGCCCTTCACTGATATGGGATAACCGGGCAGCAGCAGCTAACCCCCTCTCGTCAGAATCTGACGTCCGATTGCCACATAGAGCTGGTCTTTCAGGACTGTTGGGTAAATGGTCAATAAGTGACACCTGGCTGTCAGAAAATGACGGTCTCTTATTTTCTAACTCAGAAGAGGGCAGCTCGCGTGCATTTTGCACGTCAGGCACAGATGATATTCTGGAATCCCCTAAATCAAGCGAGTCATTGCCGACTGGAAATGGCAGTCCCACGGTTTTATTTACTACATCAAATGCTATAGTATCATCAGCTCCAAGAGTATCCTCATCTTCTGCAGTTTCGTCCATGAAGGTCTCCTGGCATTCTTCCCTGACACGACACATTTCAGCCTGGCTACCTCCACTGCAGCCGGCTCCTGCAACGCTTTGTAGTGTGAAACGTACTGACATAAACACAGCTGCATAACTATTCTAACATCACAACATCGCACTACTTTCATACTAAATATCACACACTCAAGATCTCAACGTATAAGAGCTTGTAAACGACCTTACCGTTACCATCAGTTCCACAGGTTGGATCACTGTTTACATCTCTAGTTTTGATGTTTCTGTTGAGGTCTTTACTAATGATATCAAAGACCTTGGCAGAGATCACATCATAATGCTGAGCGTGAACACTTCCATCAATCCTGTTGCCTTCAATTCCATACAACTTCTTAGCTCTGCAAGGAAGGATAAAATGACAGATTTTAAATTCTACTGAAATTAACAATGGTTTATTCACACATGCAAAAAATCCGTGTTAATGACGATGGAATTTTGCTGATAAATGGTTAATGGTCAGAACAGGTAAATGTGCAAGACAATTTTGCTTCAAATTAAGATGACCTAGAGTGCGAGATCTTCCATGTTACAACTAAGATATATTTTACAATGTTACAACTAAATTACAACTTCCATGTTACAACTAAGATATATTTTCTACGCGTAACCACGGCCCAGAGAGTACCACTGTAAACAAAAGATCATAATACGGTAAATGGGAACAAAGACCGTATATATCCGCTACGTTGTTTTTATCACAGTTTTCCTTCTCTAAAATAGATGACACTGAGGTGATACTTGTCTCTCTATTGTTGCTTAAATCTACCCTTCTCAGTTGACCTCAAACCATCCCTTTTTTTTCATGGGTAGGCCTACTGTCCCACCTAAGCAATGACGTCATCCATTCTTTCCTAATTTTCAGAAGCATACAAAAAAAGTACCTTTTCCCAAGCCTTTTGCTACCCTCCTGACGAAAGCGCCGAAGACCTATTCTCGCAAATCTAAGCCGCCATTTCTCGCTAATCTGGCTTATCTGCCTTGCCAACTCTCAGGGAAATAAGAGTTTCGAGTAAAGTTACACACACTCTGCTCACACGATGATTACGAACGAAACAGCTGAGACGGTTAAAATGGAGTTTTAAAAGGCCCAGCTGTCTCACTTTGTTCCGAAGCATTAGGACTTTTCTGTCTAGGACGAAAACATGGAATTCTTTTTCATTGATTTTCATCTCTACAATACGGTGATAAATATCTGAACTCCCTCACCTATTAAATCCTAAGTAATTATTAAATCCTAAGTAATTATCAAATCCTAAGTAATTATTAAACCCTAAGTAATCATTAAACCCTAAGTAATTATAAAATCCTAAGTAATTATTAAATCCTAAGTAATTATTAAACCCTAAGTAATTATTAAACCCTAAGTAATTATTAAACCCTAAGTAATTATAAAATCCTAAGTAATTATTAAACCCTAAGTAATCATTAAACCCTAAGTAATAATATATAAAATCCTAAGTAATTATCAAATCCTAAGTAATTATTAAACCCTAAGTAATTATTAAACCCTAAGTAATTATCAAATCCCAAGTAATTATCAAACCCTAAGTAATTATTAAACCCTAAGTAATTATTAAATCCTAAGTAATTATTAAATCCTAAGTAATTATTAAATCCTAAGTAATTATAAAATCCTAAGTAATTATCAAATCCTAAGTAATTATTAAACCCTAAGTAATTATTAAACCTAAGTAATTATCAAACCCTAAGTAATTATCAAACCTAAGTAATTATTAAACCCTAAGTAATTATTAAATCCTAAGTAATTATTAAATCCTAAGTAATTATTAAATCCTAAGTAATTATTAAACCCTAAGTAATTATCAAACCCTAAGTAATTATTAAATCCTAAGTAATTATTAAATCCCAAGTATTATTAAATCCTAAGTAATTATTAAATCCTAAGTAATTATTAAATCCTAAGTAATTATTAAACCCTAAGTAATTATTAAATCCTAAGTAATTTTAAATCCTAAGTAATTATTAAATCCTAAGTAATTATTAAATCCCAAGTAATTATTAAATCCTAAGTAATTATTAAATCCTAAGTAATTATAAAACCCTAAGTAATTATTAAATCCTAAGTAATTATTAAACCCTAAGTAATTATTAAACCCTAAGTAATTATCAAACCCTAAGTAATTATTAAATCCTAAGTAATTATTAAATCCTAAGTAATTATTAAATCCTAAGTAATTATTAAATCCCAAGTAATTATTAAATCCTAAGTAATTATTAAATCCTAAGTAATTATAAATCCTAAGTAATTATTAAACCCTAAGTAATTATTAAATCTAAGTAATTATTAAATCCTAAGTAATTATTAAATCCTAAGTAATTATTAAATCCTAAGTAATTATTAAATCCCAAGTAATTATTAAATCCCAAGTAATTATCAAATCCCAAGTAATTATTAAACACTAAGTAATTATCAAATCCTAAGTAATTATTAAACACTAAGTAATTATCAAATCCTAAGTAATCATTAAACAAGTAATTATAAAATCCAAGTAATTATTAAACACTAAGTAATTATCAATCTAAGTAATTATTAAACCTAAGTAATTATTAAATCCTAAGTAATATCAAATCCTAAGTAATCATTAAACCTAAGTAATCATTAATCCTCAGTAATCATTAAACCTAAGTAATTATTAAACCCTAAGTAATTATTAAATCCAAGTAATTATTAATCCTAATTAATTTAACCCTAAGTAATTATCAAATCCAAGTAATTAACACCTCACGCGTCACGTTGCCTTCCTGTGATAAATGGTTGTCATTGCGCTCTCCTTTCTCTTCCATCTTGGGCATAGGAGACTGACAAGTATTATCCTCCTCCTTCGCCCTTTCACTGGGCTGGTTTCATGATGTAATCTTCCTTGTAAGATATTTTTTTTTAATATAGAGTTGAGTGGCGTAGGTTTTTGGACATAAGACACTTGAGTGTGTGAGTGAGTGTGTGAGTGAGTGAGTGAGTGAGTGAGTGAGTGAGTGTCAGTCAGTCAGTATCTCTCGCTCTCTCTCTCTCTTCTCTCCTCTCTCTCTCTTCTCTCTCTCTCTCTTCTCCTCTCTCTCTCTCTCTCTCTCTTCTCCCTCTCTCTCCCTCTCTCTCCCTCTCCCTTCCCTCTCCCCTCCCTCTCCCTCCTCTCCCTCTCCCTCTCCCTTTCTCCCTCTCCCTTTCTCCCTCTCCCTTTCTCCCTCTCCCTCTCCCTTTCTCCCTTCTCCTTTCTCCCTCTCCCTCTCCCTTTCTCCCTTCTCCCTCTCCCTCTCCCTTTCTCCTCTCCCTCTCCCTTTCTCCCTCTCCTCTCCCTTTCTCCCTCTCCCTCTCCCTCCCTCCCTCTCCCTCTCCCTCTCTCCCTTTTGCTACTGAATTTTACAAGCCACAACATCGCCCTTAGTCACATCCGCTCTTCTGGCACGCGACAACAGCGAGCGAAATGGAATCGCCAGGAACCTTCTGTAGCAGTTTTCCCGCGTTTTGTGCCGTGGTGGTGAAATAACCTTTAAAGGTCTTTTCAATCAGATCAAGAGCTACGTATGAAAAATGAAACGTAACACACTGGAAAAACAAAAAGCTATTTTTCTTGAAAAAAATAAAAATAAAAAACTTCTCTTAACTTAAAAGAAATAAAATAAAGAAACTTCTCTTATCTTGTTATATAATAGGAAAGGCTTTCAACTCTATGAATCACCTCTTATCTTACAATAAATCAATATAATCAATGGAAAAAAACGAAAATTTTGGTGTGCGAAAGTTCACAAAGTGCAAATCTCATATTCAACGAGAACCCAAGTTTTGCCCATTTTTTAGTCCTCTTAAACAAATTTTACCGAATGTTCAGTGGTTCACATCGATACCGGATCCGAGACATGATCATCTGAACGGTGCTAGAAATTAATGTTTGGTCAGTCTGCGGCGAGTATATTACTATTGTAATGACCAGAAACATGTCATAAATCTGTTTATTTGTGAGAAGAACAGACCTATAGAAAGATCGTGAAATTTAGTTAAGTTTGCCCTTCAATTTGTAACCATTTCTATACTCGTTTTGAGGGAGTCAGAGCGTATTATTAATTACGTAAACCAACTTTTCTGATTACATTAACAAGTATAATCCACAATTACTTATGTATTTTTGACAAGGGAAAATACTATCACAAGCAAAATCAATGCCCATTTACTATTTCTATATTTCAATATTTGTAACTTTAATTCACTGAAACAAATATTTATAACATATTGAATAATAGGTTTCGTTAATTAACCTTCCTGTAAACTGCACTAAGTCGGGTGATCAATTGGTTAATTTGGTCAATTGGTTATTTTTTATTATTATTATTAAAGCCAAGAATGAAGGTAGAGACGACGCGCACATACAAATATCATCTTGTGAAAACTCACTAAAAAACTATTACAAACTCGTAAATGGTAAATTAGGACGAATATAAACAGAAAAAGGTTCTATAAAATTCCGGGTTTAGTTCTCATTTCCAAATGCCATATTTAGTGAAACAAAAGATGTCTTGGAATTCACCAGTCATTCGATTCCTCTGTACGCCAGAATCCGTTATTTTACCCCATTATTCAAGTAATAATTCGAGCATTTCAACAACGTTCCATTGCATCACAAACAGCTTTTCCAACAATTCGACTCGCTCCATATCCATCACCTTGCCATGTCTCTCTTTATCTGATGGCGTTCAAAACCCATTGCAGTAAAACTCACCGGCTTTTCATGTTTTCCCAGAGCTCTTCGTTTGCTTGACGCTTCTGGGAGGTCCCAGAGCAGCGCATTGAGGGCGCTGGTGATGTCCTCCCATGCCTTGGCCTTGGGAAGTGCCTTTCTGCAGAAAATAATGGTTTTAGGTATATAATTTTGTTTATTTGCATACACGCATACATGCATACACGCACGCACGCTCGCGCACACACACACACACACACACACACACACACACACACACACACACACACACACACACACACACACACACACACACACGTCAGTTCATTCGTTTTTTGAAAGTAATGGCCGTATGCTCAGAAATTGTAACGCAAACCAGTTCTTGACACAATTTTATTCTGCTAGATTCTTCACGTGCAGGGGTCAATGTAACTTTAGTGTAATTAAATAAAAATAATAAAGTGTTCTTATCCTCTTGCCTTACTTTGGTATACCAGTATATTTTTGCGGTATTCCTTAGTAGAGGATTTTGTGCTTAAAAGTGGATTTCACTTTTTCAAGAATACGACCGTCGTGACGCTACTTTAGTTAACTGATGCAATACCATACTCCCGTATTTTTGACAATCATTAAAGAGCAAATTTCGTAATGAAAGTTCATTCTGAAGTAGTACCCTTGCAGGAGTTTGGAAAAATGGGAAACTACCAAACAACAAATTGACGAGGTAGTCCTAGTAGATAGGTCGTTTCTTGGTGTTTAAGCTTGTAAAACTAAACTCTTTTCTATGAAAAGATGTTCATTTTGAAAAGGTTACATTTAAAATAAGATAATTAATATAGTATATAAAGGGTCGATATGGTGGAGGTGTGAGTGAATACTTAAAATACAATACCGATATAATTCATGGTTGCTTATTTTGCCTGAATGGGTAGGCCTATATACGCAGGGTTTGATTTTTTTTAACCAAGAATTTTCATATAGAGATACTTTATCATTTGTGAGTTTTTTAAGGGGTTAGGTCAAGGGTGAGTTGAAGTGTCATCTGAGTATCCCGTATTTTCGTTTCAGAGAGTTGGCAACCATAACTAAATGATATGGGAATGCTAAGGGATTTTACACCTACGGAATTTCCATCGCAAATTACACACACACACACACAAAAAACAATAATAGTAAAATCATTTAACACTAATTATTTAGATTCTCACAATCGAGTACCAGTCATAAACAACACTGATCTCGATTATTTTAATGTTTTGGAGACAGCACCACGTTTTGGCCAAAAAATACCTAAAGGACCTTTTTATCTGTACATAAATAACAGGTCACGTAACAATCAACAACCTTGGAGATAAATCAGAAAGAATTTGTAAGCTACAATATAAGGGGTTGATGTTAGTTGGCCTTTGCCAGTCGGGGCCAGGAATTGTTTTTTTCCCGAAGTACAAATAAATACTTTTTGATGCTTGTATTTCGAAAATTAGACCGAAATAAATTATAATTATGCTGTGTATCCCCCACCCCTCCCACGAAAAATAAAATCTACCCTAATCTGTTTTTAATATAACACAAACTAATGTTCAGTGAGCCGAAAGAATAGCCATGGATGTCATTCCAAGGATGCTATCTAGACAGTTTTGGTTCACAAGACAACTATAATGACAATATTGTGGTGCATCAAGGATTGCTAACCCTCCTGCCCAGACCAAGACGGAGCTTGTCAAACTCCAAGGAATTTGTCCTCAATATGGAATGAATTCTACCTCTAAAACACTACTGATCTTGATAGGAAATATGGCAAAAGTACTGTAGGTATTTTCTTGTCTTTGGTGGATTGCAAAGGATAATTTTGCTCCAGTATGGAACCTGCGCTGCTGTCTGTGTATATGTCCACTATATGCAGTATACCGCATAGTGTATAACTGATGTATATTTCTTTTGGTTGTATTTCACCCCTTTCGTACTATGCTCGAAAGAAAATTAAGGAAAAATATGAATAAAAAAAAAAACGATTGAATCAGACTGGATATATGGTTGCGACCTTGTTCTTTGGGGTTTATTATGAAATTAAATGTCATATTCAACTTACTTTCCTTCAGCCTTCTTACTTTGAAGAATTGAGGCTCTCTCCTTAAAAAGAGAAATTAGCAGAAGTCGTTCATCAGACGAGGTGTGTTGTTGGCGAGACATGCTGGACGTGGAAAGTAAACAACCCGCCTTACAGTTCTTGCGCTATTTCAAATGCCTTTTATGTGTCCCCAAAATCCATCTTGAATTCTGAATATCAAATAATAGAAAGATATACATATGTATATTATCTTTTAAAATAGTAACAGTATCAAAATTTAAAATCACAAACTATATATTGTTTTTTCACACAAATTCGAACTTTATTTGCCACTATTGCCAACTGCTTAATAACTAATGCGTATATTTTGATATAACTTTTGTTGATCTTTCCTAAATGCTCGATATATTTATAATTGGTCAAGAAAGTATACAGACAATATTGATTAGCACCCTGCATATATGTACATCGCACAGGGATCTGGTTTATGCAGGGTGTTAATGAATACTATTGTCTATAATTTCTTGCCCATTATAAATATATCGATATAATAAATAAGACCTGTGTAGGTCTGGTTATCTCTCTGGCTTCCCTGCCCACACATTTCCCACCGAGTACACATTTCTGCCCAGATAGCAATCGGGGTTCAGGAGCCATGTACATATAAGCCGTTGAACTACATCTTCATGCTCTTGTGCGAAATCTATGGGGATGAGGCAGGCAAAGATAGACCTTGGCCTGAGTAGCGTCTGTTTTTCCGGCAGTGTTAATAAAAAGGGCAAGGGTTCATAATTTTGCGGAATTTTTTGTAAGTAATATATATATATATTATATATATATTATATATATATATATATATATATATACATATACATATACATATATGTTCACAGCGCGTGCGTACGTTTCAAGTTCTACTTTCATGTAGGCTACATATATTGAACGCAATGACGGACGGACGGACGCGCACGCACGCACCCACACCCACAGAGTCGTATTTAAATATATATAAATCATGCAGAGTGGGCACAAGGTCTATCCCAGGATGCCAAAAAAAAAAAAAAAAAATCG